TCCCAACACACATTCTTCCACGCCCCTAATTGGATAGAATCACCACATCTTTTCCTGCACAAAAATCCCGTAGGGTGAGCATAAAGCCCAATAAGAAATTCTTAACAAAGTATATACATTTTATACAAGTCTCAAGAGATGAATTGCACATGCCATGCTATGCCCTTTTTAAAGATAAATCATATTTTCATCTTTTGAAAACCATCATGCTCAATGATATCATGCAATTTCAATTGTTCAAAACTTAACAATTTATTTAAAGGGCGGTAAATACGACTCTGGTAATCCCTAGGTCGGTGTCTGCAAGTAGACTATACAAGTACTACTAATTTGTCATTTTTACTGGTATTAACTGGAATGCTCTTATCCACCAAAAAAAAATCGGAAGGCTCGACACCTATCCGCGCGGGTTTTCGATCTTTCACCCCGGAATCTCAAGCCAACTTATTCAATATTATCTACACTACCTATCAAGACTTACCAACGTATTTACCCCAAAACCATTCCATGAAAACTTGGTTCTCAACATTCTCTTCTCAATGCAAGTTTTCAAATTCATCATCCAATATAAACACTTTTATTCCAATTCATCATCCAATGAATAACACAATTCCCTCTTCTCAAGTATCCTCAACAATTAGTTATTTCAAGACTATTTCGACGTTTTGAACAATAATTTCCAAAATGAACAACAATTCTCATATTATCTTAAATTCTTCATTTATATAAATATAAAAAAGAAAATTTTCAAATATCTATTTATTTTGACACACAAAATAAATATAACAATATCATTCATGGATTTTTAATCTTCTTAAAATTTTTTCCAAATTCTAGGTTTTCTCACTAAAACTATACAACTCAAATCTTTTGAAAAAAAACTTTCCAAAATTATCTTTTCTTCAATCAACGAAGATCAAAACCCATAAGATCATTTTAAAAGAACAAGAGACAACCCACTTTCAAAATCGCTCAACTTCTTGAATCAACAATCAATTTTCAAAGTTATCGAAAGATGATTTCGAAAATCATATAGATCTTGCAAAAAAATATATATAACTCTAAGAATATCCCTACCTCAAGTTTTGAAGAAGAAATGAGATGAAACACCCAAAATCAACGGTATCGAAACTCGATCTTCACCGCACACAGCGAAGCCCTCGAGAAGTTAACCAACTTTAATGAAGAGCTTATGGCAGAACTCTAATGGATCTTGAGAAATCAAGGTTTTGATCCAATTTGGCGTAGGGAAATGTAGAGAGAACGGAGAGGAAAGGGTTTTTAGAGAGAGAGAGAGATATACTAAAATGATCTGAAAGATTAGATTCACGAACTGATATAACATGATCCGCTCGAGCGTGGAAAGCACTGCTCGAGCGTCAAATACACTTTCCCAGTACTTTTGCAGACAGGTCAAACTTCTAAAACCAAACATTCTCTGCTCGAGCGCATAAACGACCACTCGAGCGAATAAGCAACTTCTAATGCATTTTTCATTTTTGCTTCGGAGGCGCTACCCCTCAACCCCGCCAGGGCGCTACCCTAGGACTTGCCAAGGGGCACTGCCACTTGGACCCTCGGGAGTTAACCGGGCAGCTCGATCCCCGCCAGGGCGCTGCCCTTGGACCCGACAAGGGGCGCTGCCCCCTGGACCCCCGCGAGCTGACCAGGCAGCTCTATCCCCGAAATACTCAGCGAAATGGCAAAACTGGGATCGCTACAATTTCATCACATAGCAAACACACTATATCCATGATTTATCAAAAGCAAGAAGAGTTAAACACTGCAAAATGAAAAAAAAACACAATACATTAGCTTTCCATTTAAATCAGAATACGTAAAATCAAATAGAAAGCAATTTAAAATTTTTAGCAAGTCAAAGGCTCACCCGAAATTTTTTTTGTTAAGTGAGAAGTGGATTTGCAACTTCCAAAAAATGTTGCCTCCATTATTCTTCTATTAAACCGTGGTCCGAAAAATGGTGCCATCCGGTATAAACACATGCTGGCTTTTGGTTGGTTGAGCCAATAGTAGTGTCTCATGTCAACCACTTGGAGGAACTATGGGAAGACACATTAGGCACTTCCAAATAGAATAAGCGAGAAACAACCACGAAACTATTACAATAAAAGGTTAATAAGAGCTCTGTTTGGGAAGTTTAATTGTAATGTAAATAGTTAATCTTGTAAGATTTGTTGAGTATATCATTAATAAAATAAAAAAATTTAATTGAGCATTGATAATCACATGATCAGATGATATTGATTTTTTTAAAATTAAATAATTAGTATAAATTTGATAATAGACTTTTTTTTCACATAATTAATACTCAATTATATAATTATCAATAAACAATTAATTGAATTTTTTTCAATGAGTTTATTGATGAATTCTGCAAGTTTTTTGACAATCACAATAAAAAATAACAACTTCCATCACATCATGAATTGTGAGCTGCAACCTCTTTTTCTAGCACATGTATGTATTTATTTGAACTTTTCTTCAAATAGCGTGCAAGAAACGGTGAAGCGATTCCACACTCTTCTCTCTCTTATATTTTGCATCCCTAATTTCACATCATTGAGAGTGAAATTGGATGAGCAAAATTAGGAGATTGTTATAATTAAAAATCATTTTATACATGGTGAAGTATTCATAAAAGCTAAAGTTAGTAAAATTAACTTTTATAAAATTAATGATAAAAAAAGAATGGCAAAACCAGATAAAAAATTGAAATTGGATAGTCACTGTTATAAGAGATTCAATTATTTGGTCATTAATGAACACAAAGGAAAAGGATAAAAAAAGAATGGTCGATTGACAAAAAAGAAAAAAATTACAAGATAATGATCTATCTAAACCTAAAAGATCAATTCTAACAAATATTGGATTTGACAATAAGTCTGGGAGCTTAGATTTTTCTGGTGGGTGATTGTATAGTGGAGATTAAATTTGTGTAGTGTGAGATTCATATATAGAATAAATATGAATAACAAGATAATAATTGTAGGTAATTTCTGGATTCGTAGTATTACTATTAACTTAAATCATAGTATGTTTATTTGCTAAATATTAATTTTTATTTTTATTTTTTTTTAATGTTAAACATTGTTTGCTTAATGTTATGTTTTTGTTTAATTGTTGAATATTATAAGAGTAGTTTGTGTGATGGGCATATTATTATTTTTCAAAGTTATGATAAGTTAAATTTTTTTGGTAATGTTATATAATTTTTTTTAGTAACAGATTGTGTAAAAACGTAGTTTCAAATTAAACTAAATTGTGTTTAAATGATTTGGGTCAGATTGGTTCAATAATTTTAATGATTTAATTTGATTACAATTTTTTTAAACCGTAGACAATAAATTAATTTTGATTTTATCCAAATTAAAAAATAAATAAATAATCATGAGTGCCCAATACACTTGATAAGATGCAATAAATATATGTTTTAATACAATTTATAGTATTATTAAAAAAATACAAAATGGAAGACAATTTTGTGCAATTAGACATTATTTTGGCGTATTGTGTTAGGTTCAAGTAGCTTTCATTCTTTTATGTATGTTAGAGCATTGTGTTAGGTTCAAGTAGCTTTCATTCTTTTATGTATGTTAGAGCATTGTGTTAGGTTCAAGTAGCTTTCATTCTTTTATGTATGTTAGAGCATTGTGTTAGGTTCAAGTAGCTTTCATTCTTTTATGTATGTTAGAGCATTGTGTTAGGTTCAAGTAGCTTTCATTCTTTTATGTATGTTAGAGCATTGTGTTAGGTTCAAGTAGCTTTCATTCTTTTATGTATGTTAGAGCATTGTGTTAGGTTCAAGTAGCTTTCATTCTTTTATGTATGTTAGAGCATTGTGTTAGGTTCAAGTAGCTTTCATTCTTTTATGTATGTTAGAGCATTGTGTTAGGTTCAAGTAGCTTTCATTCTTTTATGTATGTTAGAGCATTGTGTTAGGTTCAAGTAGCTTTCATTCTTTTATGTATGTTAGAGCATTGTGTTAGGTTCAAGTAGCTTTCATTCTTTTATGTATGTTAGAGCATTGTGTTAGGTTCAAGTAGCTTTCATTCTTTTATGTATGTTAGAGCATTGTGTTAGGTTCAAGTAGCTTTCATTCTTTTATGTATGTTAGAGCATTGTGTTAGGTTCAAGTAGCTTTCATTCTTTTATGTATGTTAGAGCATTGTGTTAGGTTCAAGTAGCTTTCATTCTTTTATGTATGTTAGAGCATTGTGTTAGGTTCAAGTAGCTTTCATTCTTTTATGTATGTTAGAGCATTGCATCAGTATAGTCAAAATAACAAAAAGATATAATATAATTAGTAAATCACAAAATTGTTCCTCTATCAGTTTTAACAAAAAAAATTTCAATTAACTTTTTGTTAAATTTGCTATAGTACCTCAACATCTTTGTTGAGGCAGCGTTCATTAGTTACTTGATTTTTTTTATTTATATTTTCTGGAGTAAAACTGGGCCAAAATCTTTAAATTGGTCGTTCACCCAGATGTCTTCCCGAATATCCTATCGGATGTCCTGTGAGTGTTTGTAGCAGAAGAAGAAAAATGTCCAAAATTAACCTAACCGGTCGATTGGCTGATCAACCAGTCAACGGTAATTTTTTTTTTTTTTTTTGCATGTGTTTAAGAATTGCGTGGGTGGTACGTCATCAATCTAATAAAAAAATAAAGAATCATAAATACAATAAAAAATTAATATTTTAATAAGATTGAATTAGAATAAAGAATTTAATATAGTAAATATTAAAAAATTGACTAATTAAAATAGTAAAAGTAAATTTTAAATTGTAATTTAATTAAAAATTTGAAGAGACTGATGACAATACTCTTAATATTTGACAACCAAATGTGAGTTAATGAGAGTGAAGTGATTTGAACAATATTTTGAAAATAAAATATATAGTAAAATTAAAATATTTCAGCCAAAAAAACTCTGTAACATCCATGCAAATTATCATCAACAACGCCACTTCGTCGTCACTCTCTCCTCTCTCTCTCTCTCTCTCTCTCTAGAACAGAACCCAATAATGGCGTTGTCGATCGCAAGTTCGTTATCTCGGCCCTCTCTCTTCTGATTCATCCCCAAAACCACCAAATTCACCTCACCTTCAATCCTTACCTTTCTCACCACCATCAACCCAAAGGTCCCCAAAACCCTAAAAACGCTTTGATTCCCTAATTCCCTATTCATCTTATTCTAATCTCCATTTCTCTCTCTCTTTTGCAGTACCCGACTCGCTCTCGTTTTGTATCGTCATCATCAGCAATGGCTTCAGAATCCAAAGAATCTCCCTCCAACAATCCAGGCCTTCACACTACTCCCGATGAAGCCACTAAAAGTTACTTCATGCAACAAACTGTAAGTCTCAATTACTCTTCAATTAATTCATGCCCTATATGTATGTATCTGTAGACTGTATGTGCATATGTTGTTCATGTTTGGAATTTGTTTTGAATTCAGATGTTTCGGATTAAGGACCCAAAAGTCAGTCTTGATTTCTATTCTCGCGTATTGGGCATGTCGTAAGTCCTTTTTTCTTTTTCTTTTTCTTTTTCCTTTTTTTTTTACTTTGAGATTTCTTTTTCCCTCTGTGTTTTGATGCTGATATGTGTGTCTATTACTTAGGTCTGGTGCTTCAATTTTGTTCATAAGTTGTTCTTCTACTGTAATTTTGTTCATATCTGGTAGACCAAGTATTCTTTTTTGCTTAAATGAGAACGTGCAAAAGTCAACTCCCAATGGGGATATCTGATGCAATATTCACAAGCAACCCGAAAAGCTACGAAACATGGGTGCGGGTACGGATATGAATATGAATACGATAGTATTGGGTATACTTCTTTATTAGAGTGTGAGATTCAATTGGTTTGTTAAAAGAATTTTAATTTAGTTTAGTTTAGGTATAATATATTTTATATATTATATTTAATTTGTAGAAACCTAATTCAATTTAGATACAATTAGGATTTTGATAAAACAAGTTCAAGATTTAACATTATATAAATATATATATATATATATATATATATTGTTATGTTCATCCTAGGAAAAAGTGCGGCACCAAATTGATTTCTAGGATATATAGTGCTTCGGATATATACTTTGTTTATTCTGCCGAAGTATTGCATGGCTACTACAGATTGATTTGGCTTTGTTGGGTTTGGGCTTTGAAGCATAGTTTGGTTCGTTATTTTGGGTCTTCTTTAACTTTGTTTTTGAAGACTTTTGTTCATCTATTTGGTGAGGACTTTCCTTTTGTTTATTTGTGATTATTTGGAATTCACCTAAGGGTGATTTTGTGAGACCATTCGTGTCTCGTTTGTAATCGTTTAGAAACTTTTTGGTTGATAGTGGAATCAGATTTCGATCCCGTGGAGGTACCTCACATTGAGGGAACCACGTAAAAATTCTTGTGTTGTTTTTATTTAATTTTTCTGTATTAATTTTTATTCCCATTGATTGATTTACTTGTGGAGAATCACATATTTTCCGTAACAGATATGGGTATATCGATAAGGAAAATTCTTAAAAAGTAGGGTATGGGTATGAGTATGGCTAGGGTACGTCAAATTTTTTTTAATTTAAATTTTTTTTTTTTTTAAATTTGAAAGCTAAGGTACCGTTTGGTAACGTTTACTTTTTTTGTTTATGTTTACAAAAATTTTATAAACTGGTTTTTTTTTATTTTTAGAAAAACAAAAATTACAAACGCGTTTGCTTTGGATAAAATGTTTAAAAATTTTTAAAAACATAAATCAAAGAATATGTTTGTTCAGCCCTAAAATATTTATATTTATTTTTATTATTTATGACAGTGGGATCACACACATTATAATTGAAAAAAAAATTAATTAAAAAAATAATTGAAAAAAATTTAATTGGGAAAAAAATATTTGAAAAAAGATTAATTGAAAAAAAAGATTAATTGAAAAAAATAATTAATTGAAAAAAAATAATTGAAAAAAAATTATTTTAAAAAATATATATTTGAAAAAAAAATTAATTGAAAAAAAAATTATTGAAACAAAATTTAATTGGGAAAAAAATATTTGAAAAAATAATAATTGAAAAAAAATAATTGAAAAAAAATTAATCAAAAAAATAATTGAAAAAAAAATTATTGAAAACAAATTATTTGGAAAAAAATATTTAAAAAAAATTGAAAACTGAAAATGTAAACTCATTTTTTGAGTTTACGTTTTTTCCTTAAATTTATAAACTGAGACAATCATTTATAAACTAAAAAAATTATCAAACAAGTTTTTATGACAGTTTTTTAAAATTTTTGTGAATATAAACTGCAAACTGAAATCGGAATGGTTACCAAACAGGTCCTAAACATCCAACATACAAATCAAAATTTCAATATCAAAACTAAAATGAGAACAACTTGTCTAAAAAGTTATATAATTCTTTTTCTTTTTTTTTCTTTTTCTTTTTTGATTGTCTAAAACATGATGGAAAAGAGAGTAAAACCATGACTCATGAGTAACGAGTGTTGGAAATAAATTATTTAATATTTTCAAAATTAAAAGAAGAATAATAAAGGTTGCAATAAATTCTAGCAGCTACAAAAAAAAAAAATTCACCTCGCCGTATCGAGGCCATACCGATGACGTACCCAAATATATTTGTCGTACCCAGCATGTATTCAGCATGTCTGGTACGCGTACTGCCGTACCAGTACACGTACCTGCACCCGGTAAGTATCCGATACTCGTTCGACACCATTTTTGGGATACTCGTGCTTCATAGCCGCAAAGGCATTTCTAAGTTCGTTATCTTCCTCTTCTCTACCAAGTTTTAAACCTTTGACCTTTGGGTTGTGTGTGAGAAACAACATTACCCGGCAGGCACTAAAGAAACTTAGTCACTTCTAAGTTCATTATCAATCACAATAACCTTAGAGAATTATATTTAAAAATTTGGAGGCTGCCAAGGAATTCTTTTAGTTGCCTTGTATTCCTTTTCTTTCATAATAGTTTCTTATTGCTCATAAAAAAGAAAAGTTAGGAGTAAATCTACAGTCTATGTAATTGAATTTGACATGAATTTTTTCGTTGCATATTACAGGTTACTTAAGAGGTTGGATTTTTCAGAAATGAAAGTTAGCTTGTATTTTATGGGATATGAGGTAAAGTGTTCTACATTACTTTTGCAATATTTTTTTATTACTACCAATGCCTTGGTGGTCATTAATGGTGCCTTGTACATAATTTGTGTTTCGCAATGGAGGATCTTTCTTCATATTAGGTCGCGATTGGAGTGGTGGCTCTTTGGCTAAAATAGCCAAAAAGCTAAAACACCCAATCATATCACTCTCTCTATTTTTCTGCACGTCTTTCATAAAAAGTTAGAAATTTAGTTGGCTTTCTAGCTTTTTATAAAAGACGTGAAAAAATAGAGAGAGCGATATGATTGGGTGTTTTGGGGCTATTTTAGCCAAAAAGCCACCACCCCGAATGGGGCCTAAATCCTCCAATAAGCCATGCATTTATGATAAAAGCATGAAATATATATATATATACATATATATATTTATTTGTCTGTGTATCTCTATCTATTTCTATCTTCTAAAACCATGAGATTCTAAATTTTCTTGTTGAAAAGATGTTCTTGACGGCACTTTCTAATTGGTGCTCTACCCTCTGCAAAGAGGGAGACAGTTGATTATCTTTTTAAACCTTGGACGGTTACTTGAGAGGCTGTGTATATATATCTATGTATATTCTTGTAAGATGGGTTCTCCCAAACACACAACTTGATATGTTTGGTAGTTGGAAGGGTACTAAAACTTGTGGCAAAAGTCATCAGATTTGAAGGCCATTTGATGGGAGGGATGAACACTTAGATGGAGTGTCATTGATCCACACAGCATTAGGGATATTGTTGATAACTTGAGATATTAGCTCTTTCTAGGATGGTACAACTTTTTTCTTTTTAACTAGTACACATACATGGGCTCCTCCTTTTGGTGCTATGTAGTGAATTCACTTAAAAACAATTAACTTGACATCACTCACTCTCTCTCTCTCTCTCTCTCTCTCTCTTTCTCAGGACCTAACATCAGCTCCCAGAAATGCAGTTGATCGTACGGTTTGGACAGCCAGTCAGAAGGCTACAATTGAGCTCACACAGTATATTTTATTTTGATATCACATTTTTTTTCTCTCTCGTGGAAATCAATTCTTTATTCTTCACCTTCTCCGTAACATTTTGACACTCAAATGCTTGCCACAGTAATTGGGGTACTGAGAGTGATCCTGATTTCAAAGGCTACCATAATGGGAACTCAGAACCTTGTGGCTTTGGTATGTAACTCTTAGATGTTGGCTTGAATGGCGCATATGTATCTTTTATGATGTGATTCCTACGTACTATTTCTGTTGACTTTTAAGTCCATCAATTGGCACTGCTGATCTAATTTGTTGAATGCCGCATCAATCTGATAGTGCATATTGGATCATTTTGATTAGGTTCAGTACTGCAGGTTGTTCCATGCCTAGACTAATCCGCCATGGAATTGATTCATCTAATCAAAGTTGAAACCATCAACCATTAAAACTAGACAAAATAAAACCATGCCAACTTACTCGTCTACTTCCTAAAATGTGGACTGCCCAAGAAGTGAATCTTGTTTTTGTAAGAGTTATTGTCCACTGCTCATCAGCGCTTGTTGCTGCTTCGGACAATGATTATAGTGACTTGACTTTGTTGGAATGTGTTCTATATTGCCCGGAGTTGTCCCATCTGTGCTAGTTATAAGGTCCCAGTTTCCCTTTCTTTAATACCTGGGTTTTAAGGAGAAGTGTGAGCTGGGCTTTTCAATTTGGTATCAGAGCTTGGTTGGGCTTGTGATTGGTGTGTCATTTGTCCGGTTACTGTATGTTGTGGTCCAGGAGGGTGTGTTGGAATGTGTCCTACATCGCCTGGAGTTGCCCCATCTGTGCTAGTTATAAGGCTTTAGTTTCTCTCTCCTTAATACCTGGGTTTTAAGAAGTGTGAGCTAGGCTTTTCAATTGGCTTTTCTAAATTCCATAAAACTTAAAGGGGCTGTACTAGATTAGATATGAAGTGCTATGAGCCTATTCTTGATTGATGGTTGTGGCCTTGTCAGGAATTAATTCTCATTGACTGTGCTTGACTCTGTTCTCATTTTCTTTAGGCATGTGGATGTTTTCTTTGTAAAGATGATTTTTGGTTTTTGGATGCTGGGTTTCTAACCACTATTTCATGCGATTGACTTCCCTAATTTTGCTTGCAGGACACATAGGCATTACTGTCGATGACACATACAAGGCTTGCGGGAGATTTGAACATCTAGGGGTGGAGTTTGTGAAGAAGCCTGATGATGGTAATTTACTCTTTCCATTTTTAGAATTCAATTAAGCTGATGGGATGCTTTCTCAATAAAAAATAGTCTCAAGCATAAACTACAAGTGCTGATGAGGAGGGATAACATCGTACTGACTATGGTAGATAAAAGGTTGGGACTGCTTGTAGATAAAAGGTTGGTCTGCCTTTTTGCATTTCTGCAAATCCATGAGCATGGGAGAACCATGTCTCAAGCTGACTCAATCAGTTATATGATGTGAGAAAACAATCTTCGCCATTTTGAATGAACCTCTCTTCCCTTCTTTATATTGAGAGTTGAGTCCTAGTGAAAGATGATTCCCTCTGGTTGGAGGATATTGCTTCTTCGAGGTCCCTTATCAGAAGCCATGAGCTAAGATTTTGCAAGAGGTGCAAATTCCAGCAAGTCTTGGTGCTGATGTGAACGAAGGTGATTGTGTGTTAGTGACCTGTGCATATCCCGCATATACTAGTTCATATTTTTGGTGAACAATCACCAAAATCATTTGGTCCTTTCCAATTATTTATTGTAACGCCCTCGGAAATAAACCCATTAAATATATATAACATCAACATGCAATGTTAAAAAGGAAACAGTTCATTATAATATTCATCAGAGTCTTACTAAACAAAAGCATTACATGTAACATCAAATTAAATGCCCTACAGGCTTACATCTTTCCAAGCCAACACTTGGACACAAAAGTATGAGTTCTAACACAATTACAAATAAAGCCCTAGGCTTGAGTGTTTACATGTACTAACAAATAAAAGCAAACAACTGAAAATAGTCTTCAGAATCCAAGTCCTTCCAAGCTAAGTCCTTGGAGGTAGCTTATCACCTGAACCTGAAAATGATGTTCCCATATAGGGTGAGCCACAGCCCAGTAGAAATATACTAAACCAAATATAAGCATTGAATAAAGCAATAGCATTCAATAGATGGTTAACCAAGATAATCAATTACATCATTATACAGTCTCATGACACTAATGTCTAAGACACATTTCACTTTCCATTATTATCAACATGGCTCAGAACCTGGCCAAACTTACAACAGTGAACTATATATATCATATTCACATTCTTCCATATCAACAAAACAAATGAGACTCAGGCTCATATCAAAACACTTCATACTTCCCGTTTGATACACATTCAGATAATAACAAGGGTTGAGCAGGGATGGAACAACATACCACCATCAACATTGAAGAAAGAGAACCTGTCCTATGAACCACCTTGTATCTTCAGAGTGCATGTAGGACTGCATCATGCAAATGAAAAGGCATACACATCTGTGCTAGTTTTTATAGGGCCTTACCACCATTGTCAACCCAAATTACTTGCTATGGAAAAACATAAAGAGCGTTATTTGGAATTGCTCCAACGTAACAACAATCAAAGTGTAGAGCTTTACTTGGATTGTATGAAGAAGTTAGAAAACAGCACACACAAGTATTATGCAAACCCACTTGACCACCTCAACAGTGATTAATTCATGAAAATGATGCTATATGATGCTTGCTTTGTTATCGAGTTTCTTTTTGGTGCGATTGCATTTGATGTTAGTATCATCATCAACGACGAAGACATTCACAAGATGTGGGTGATGATGACCCTATTGTCAAAGTAACATGGATGAGAAGACAAATTTGCAATGATTTGATGCTACTTGAAAATCAACTTCCATTGTTTGTTATAACTGAATTTTTTGACATGAGCTACAGCATGACTATGTCCATGACCCAAAATCCAAAGCAGAATCATCCTAGCCCCACACTAACGGAGCTGGCTATTCATTCTGTTGCTTGCACGCTACCAAGAGAGAGTGACATTCACAGAATTAATTTTGAAAATATGCCTCTTTCTAAAAGCAAGCATTTTCTTGACTTGGTGCATAATGTTTTTCTTCCC